GTGAGTTCTAATCCTGCCTTAGGCATGAATACTGGCTGGATGACTTTGGACCAATCACCAAGAGGCTGTGAGTTCTAGTTCCTCCTTAGGCATGAAAGCCAACTGAGTGACTTTGGACCAATCATCGCAGGGTGGCTGTGAGTTCTAGTTCTGCCTTAGGCATGAAAGCCAGCTGGGTGACTTTGGGCCAATCGGAGGGTGGCTGTGAGTTCTATTTCCTCCTTAGGAATGAAAGCTGGCTGGGTGACTTTGGGCCAATCACCAGATGGCTATGAGTTCTAGTCCCGCCTTAAACATGAAAGCCAACTGAGTGACTTTGGGCCAATCGGAGGGTGGCTGTGAGTTCTAGTTCTGCCTTAGGCATGAAAGCCGGCTGGGTGACTTTGGGCCAATCACCAGGTGGCTATGAGTTCTAGTCCCGCCTTAAACATGAAAGCCAACTGAGTGACTTTGGACCAATTGCAGGGTGGCTGTGAGTTCTAGTCCCGCCTTGGGCATGAAAGCCGGCTGGGTGACTTTGGGCCAATCACCAGGTGGCTGTGAGTTCTAGTCCCGCCTTAAACACGAAAGCCAACTGAGTGACTTTGGACCAGCCGCAGGGTGGCTGCGAGTTCTAGTCCTACCTTGGGCACGAAATCCGGCTGGGTGACTTTGGGCCAGTCATTCTCCCTCAGTCCAGCCCACCTCACAGGGTTGCTGTGAAGGTGAGAATAAGACCAGGAAGGCTTATTAGGTATGTTCGCCACCTTGAGTTACCAAATAAACTCGTAAAGGCAGTACAAAAAAAAAATCAAATAAATAACAGTAAAAGCTCCCAAACGGGGCACATTCAGGGCCCTAGACTCGGGGTACCCTGCCCAGTTTTTAAAGCCTTAACTGTCTCTCTTCTGCCATTTAACTTTCTGTTTTTCTCTTCCTTTCCTTCTGCCTTCTTCCCCCCCCCCTCCCTCTGCAGCGGGAACGTGATCATAGAAACCAAGTTTTTCGATGACGACCTCCTTGTCAGCACTTCCAAAGTAAGACTGTTCTACGTTTGAGAGCCGGCCGGGGCAGGGCTGAGGCCTGGCTTAGTTCCTCACCCCTCACCTGATTCCCGGGGGCCGAATCCCCAGTTTCTCCCCCCCCCTCCCCAAGTGGACAGAAGACCCTTTCGGAGATCTAGGGCCTGGCGAGACTCGTGCCCTCTCTTCCCGCCTGCCCCGGGGACAAGGCAACACGGCAGCATCTCGTAGCCACATCTGTGCTCGGATATTGAGTAAGGGAAGAAGGACTTTTTGGGGGGGCACCCCAATGAGCAAGAAGGATCAAGACTGTAAATGGGTTTTTGGGATTTTTTATTTTTTTTTTTAGATCTTTATATGTCTCCGTCCGTAGTCGCCTTCTTGGCAGGCTGTCTGTCAGCTCATTTTCTTCGTCGGCTGTTTATTTGTTTTACGTTTCCTTTGCTCGTCTCCTTATTTCTCTTTTTCTCTCTCTCTCTCTCTTTCTCTCTCTCTCTTTTTTTAATTCCGATTCTCCTCTCGGTTTAACTGGTCCAGACTCATTTCTTCCTCCACCGTCCTGTTCCTTGAACTTGTAAAATAGACTGCAATATTCTTACATAATGTAATTAAAAATAAATTTCTGATTGAAAAGCAAAAAAATGTTCTCCAGGTTTGCTCAGGTTTTTATATTCCACGTAAATAGCATGCAATGATGGGATCTTCGGGAGGGTGTGTGTGTGTGTTTCTGGCCTTTTGTCCTCAGCCTGGTGTGTCTTCCAGATGTTCTGGATTCCTGGCAAAGAGGACACTTGGCCAGCGAGGGTTCCCTGCAGGGCCGAGGTNCCTTCAGCTGGGTTTTATAAAACCTTTTCGCTTTAGGCCTCCACCGCCGTGTGCAAAAAAAAAAAAAAAAGGTTCAATCAATCAGTCAATTTCAACTTCTCGCGGGAAAAAAAAGATCTTGCAAAGTTGGAATTGATTGATTGAACTTTTTAGTCCCACCCAGTCTGCCGTTACCACCGCAGCCACGCCCACCCAGTGGGCCACACCCACCCAATGGGCCACACCCACCCGGCACCCGACGATGCATAAGTGGGTTTTGGGTTGCAGTTTGGGCACTCGGTCTCTAAAAGGTTCGCCATCCTTGGCATAAAGGAAGGATGTAAGAGAAACACGTCGGCAAAATTGTCATCTGGGTCTTCAGAATGGGAAAAGGGGCTGTAAGAGAAGATAACTAGCAAAACAGGAAAGAACCTATTTTTCTAAGAAATCATAAAAAAGGGGGGAGCCAGAAACTCAGGCAACTGAGCAAGTGCAATTAGTTGATTAATATTAACTGACACACCTTGCATAAATGATCTCTTAATTTTAATGTACATGCGATGTATGATTTAGTATGCAGCAGGAAATAGGCAGGAGGCGGTCGGAAAGAGTGTAACCTCATAGTAGTCCCTCAGCCAATGGGGAAAGAGGAGGGATGTGGCGGCCGGGACAAGGGATGGATAAAGAAGGGAATATTTTGGGTTGGAACTTCGGAGAGAATCCAAGCTTTGATAGATTCTCTCCCCACTTATTGCAATCAACGAAACGAAAGGCCTTCATGGTGTCTTGGCTGGTTATTGCTCAGGCGAGCTTGCCACTGGTCACCAAGGAAAGTAGCCAGGAGCACATAACAATTCCTATCCACCCACACCATGTCTAAGGCTGAAGGGCTTTTTTCAGGATAGACCAGGGCTCTGCAAACGTGGCCATTTGAAGACTTCTGGACTTCAACTTCCCAGCCTGGCTGGGGAATTGTGAGAGTTGAAGTCCACATGTCTTAAAGTGGTCAATTTTGGAGAGCCCTGAGATAGGCAACACGCTGATGGGACTGTAATTGCTCAGGTCCTCCTTCTTCCGCTTTGAGAAGATAGGGTTGAGACTTCTCTATTCTCCTGGAAGCCCACCAGACCTCTAGGGCTTTTCAACCAGTGGTACGGGTACCCCCTGTGGTACATGGGCACCTGGCAGGTGGTACGCGACCATCCTAGAAAAGTGGTAGTGGGGGAGGGGAATGAGCTGAACCGGTGGCAGCACCGCACAAGCCTGAGCGAGAGACGGCTGGAGCTGCAGGGCTGTCAGGGCTCAGCGGAAGCGCCAGGATCAGCACCAGGATCCAGCTGATTGGCGCTTCTTCGGGGCTGTCAGGACTCAGCGGAAGCGCCAGGATCAGCGCCAGCATCCAGCTGGAGCTCAGTGCTGATCCTGGTGCTTCTGCTGAGTCCAGAAGAAGCGCCAATCAGCTGGAATGTTGCAGCCTCTCCAGGGTCTCGTGATTTCCATTCAGATGCTTGGCAACTGATTCATATTTATGACGGTCACAGTGTCCCAGGGTCATGTGAAGGGACCAAAACCTGCTGCAACCACCCAACAGACGGGTGGAATAAAAACCAAACACCCCCCACCCCACCCCCACTGCCAATCCTCAACAGAAATGCTCACAACAATGAAAACCTCGGACAGGAGGAAGAGCGCCGCCGGGCGGGCAGGCAGGTGTCTTACTCAGCTGTGGCTTGGGGGGCACTTTTTTCAGTGCCATTGTAACTTCGAACAGTCACTAAGCGAACTGTTGTAAATCGAGGACTACCTGTACTTTATCACTTTTTTACTTTTTTCTTTTTTTTTGGTCATCAAGTTTTTGACACCTTGCTAGGCGACTGGTGGTCCTCGGATGTTGCCATATCCTAAAAGTGGTACAATGGGTGAAAAGGTTGAAAAGCCCTGATCTAGGAGTTCTCAAAGATTATGCTTAAGTGGTTTTATGGCAACTTTCCCCAGGGCTAGCACCTAACAGGCTCGTGCTACAGTTCACAAAGCGTATGATTCCGTTAGTACGAAAAGGTGCTACCGAAAAAGTGTGATGAGGTTTAGTTCCTTTCGGGATACAGTTCATCCGGTTCTACAGCCGCGTTTCTCAATGCTCACAAGTTGAAGATGGGTGGATTTCAACTCCCAGGATTCCTTCCTGGCTTGTGAGTAGACCAACAAAGGGACGGACGGTCGCGTTATAAACCAGCCGTTAAAAATTCTCCATTGGTCAGAGCAATTGCTCTATTTTTTTTCTATCCTGCTCTATGGAGTAGAGAGTTGGTCTCTGACAGAAGGCCACCTGGAGAGACTAGAAGCATTTGAAATGTGGATTGACAGGCGGCTGTTACGTAGAAGCTGGGTCGACCAGATCAGAAACAAGGAGGGGATAAGCCGCCCGGGAAAGCCAAGGGAAATCATCAAAACAATTAAAAAACGAAAATTAGAATATTTCGGACCTGTGAGGCGACACCCAGAAAAACACGGCCTGCTCCATTTAACCCTCCAGGGAAAGATGGAAGGCAAACGAGCTCCAGGCAGAAGAAGAACATCATGGCTTCAAAATCTAAGGGACTGGTTTGGACAAAACTCAGCAGCACTTTTTCGTGCGGCTGCTGGTAAAAACAGGATCGCCAACATGATCGCCAACGTCCGATAACGCAGGGGTCTCCAACCTTGGCAACTTTAAGACTTGTGGACTTCAACTCCCAGAATTCCTCAGCCAGCCAAGCTGGCTGAGGAATTCTGGGAGTTGAAGTCCACAAGTCTTAAAGTTGCCAAGGTTGGGGACCTCTGTGATAACAAGAAGAATTGGTCAGACCATCTCAGCTGCTGACAGGTGTGGCCACTAGATGGCACTAGACCACCACGGTTCTTCCGAGGCTAACCCAAAATTCTAGAGTAAAATTTCTCACCCTTGAGGATGGGTGGACTTTAACTCCCAGAATTCCCCAGCCAGACTTGCTGGTTGAGGAATTCTGGGAGTTGAAGTCCGTGCCTCTTCAAGTGGCCACGGTTGAGAAACCCAGCCGTTAAGTTCCTTTTGGTCTTCCCAAAGAGGCATGTTCAGCTTTTGCGGGACTTCAGCATCCATCTTCCCCATCCTGTATGGGTCACGCAAGAAAATACCAGCTGGTTGGCATTCAGCAACCCGATCCATCAGCTGCTTTTCTGAAAGAGGGCTGGAAGTTCTCTAGCAGGTTTGCACTGAGGTTTGCAAACTGCCCAGGGGCAGCTCTTGTGTCCTCCCTGAGTTTCTCACCCCTTCCAGTCTTCATCAGGAGATTTGGAGGGGAAGGAAGGAAGGAAGGAAGGAAGGGAGGGAGGGAGGGAAGGGCAGGGAAGGGGAAGGAAGGGAGGGAGGAAGGAAGGAAGGAAGGAAGGAAGGAAGGAAAAGGAAGGGGAAGGAAGGAAAGAAGGGAGGGAGGGAGGGAGTGAGGGAGGGAAGGAAGGAAGTAAAAGGGAAAGGAAGGGAAGGGAAGGGGAAGGAAGGATGAAAAGAAAAGGGAAGGAGAAGGGAAGGAGGAAGGAAGAAGGATAGAAGGAAGAGGAGAAAAATGAAAGGGAAGGAGAAGGGGAGGAAGGAAGGAAGGGGAAGTAGGGGGAAGAAAAGAGAAGGGAAAGAAGAAGGAAGGAAGGAGGGAAGGAAGGAAAAGGGGAGGAGAAGGGGAGGAATGAAGGAAAGAAGAAAGGAGGGAAAATGAAAGGGAAGGAGGAGGGGAGGAAGGAAGGAAGGAAGGTAGGGGAGGAAAAGGGAAGGGAAAAGGAAGAAGGGGAGGGAAAGAAGAAGGAAGGAAGGAAGAGGAAAAGGAAGGGGAAGTAGGGGGAGAAAAGGGAAGGGAAAGAGGAAGGAAGGAAGGACAAGGGAGGGGAAGGGGAAGGAGGGAAGGAAGGAAGAAAAGAAAAGGGAAGGAGCAGGGGAGGAGGAAGCAAGGAAGGAAGGGGAGGAAAATGAAAGGGAAGGAGAAGGGGAGGAAGGAAGGAAAGAAGAAAGAGGAGGGAAAATGAAAGGGAAGGAGAAGGGGAGGGAAGGAGGAAGGAAGGAAGGGAAAAAGGAAGGGGAAGTAGGGGGAGGAAAAGGGAAGGGAAAGAAGGAGGAAGGAAGGAAAGAAGAGGAAAAGGAAGGGGAAGTAGGGGGACGAAAAGGAAACGAGAAGGAGAAGGGGAGGGAAGGAAGGAAGGAAGGAAGGAAGGAAGGAAGGAAGGAAGGAAGGAAGGAAGGAAGGAAGGAAGGGGGAGCCACAGGCTGTTGGGGATGGATCCGCGTTGTCTGCATCTCCA